CAAATTACCAAACTCAACCATACCCAAAATTCCAAACGCCAACACTTCCCCGCCAAAATCCTTTAAATTACCGTCAAGTACCTCCACCTCCACAAAATAACTATGACCTTCCTCGTCCAAACTTTGAAAGGAAACCTCCCAGAATTTTCACTCCTCTCATTGAAAGCTGAACTAAGTTGTTCGAAAGATTGAAAGTTGCAGGCATGCTTCATCCCATCGAACCTAAACCTGTCAACACAAACTCCAAATTCTTTAGAGTTGATCAGATATGTGCATATCACTCCAATAGTGTAGGACATACCACCGAAGATTGCATCAACCTGAAGCATAAGATTCAAGACTTAATTGATCACAAGGTGGTCACCCTTCAGACTGCCTCTCCTAATGTGCATAGTAATCCTCTACCAAATCATGGGGGAGATACTATTAATATGATTGAAATAGAAAATGATTGGGGTGCTGCTAAGACGATAGTCCCATCGAATCTTGACAGTCTTGAGAAGGCTGTAGCCTCTCTAAGCATAAGCAAGAAGCCCGAGTTCATGATAAAAACACTCCATCAAGCTTTTGTTTTAGGGCCAAAGAAGGGCCTTACTTCATCAAGCTTTTACTGCCCATCTAAAAACTTTTGTTTTGAGAAAGAGTTTGTGATAATGGCACCTCATCAAGCTTTTACTTCAGTGCCAAAGAAAGGCCTTACCAAGAAAGAGTTTGTGATCGAGACCGCTACTGCCCATGGTATGACTAGATCTGGTAGATGTTATACACCAGAAGAATTGACTCAAGGATGCCACAAGAGAGACCACCAGAAAAGACAATCAGTGAAGCTGAAGCCAGGGAGTTTTGGCGGAGAATGCAGCCTAAAAAGTATTCCATCATGAAACATTTGGAGAAGACACCTGCTCAAATTTCTGAGTGGGCATTATTGATGAGTTCACAGCAACACAGACATGCTTTGTTAAAGGCTTTGAATGAGACTCACGACCGGTGGGGACAAACAGCGATAATCTCACAGCCATGGTAAGTAAATTCATCGGGGGCCATCGTGTTAGTTTTAGCGATGAAGAGTTGCCTTGTGAAGGGGTGATGCATAACAAAACCTTGCACATCACAATCAAGTGTCGGGACAAGATTGTGAATCCTATTCTGATAGATGACGGATTTGGACTTAATATTTACCCATTGTCGACTCTCAAGCAACTGAATTTTGATCTTGGGAAGATTAGTCAGAACCAAGTCAATGTGAGAGCTTTCAACGGGGGTCAAAGAGAAACATTGGGCGCTGTTAGTCTGGGTATTGAAGTAGGACCTACAGGTTTCATTGTAGAGTTTCAGGTGATGGACATCACCACTAGCTACAACCTTTTACTCGGAAGACCTTGGATCCATATGGCTGGGGCCGTGCCCTCTACCCTCCATCAGTTAATGAAGTTTGTGTGGAACGATCACGAAGTAGTCATTCATGGTGAAGGAAGACATTCGAATGACTATGCCCCAATTGTCGACAATGTGGCTAGAGGTTCTGACTTCTATACAGTAGAGATAGTGAATGCTACCAATGATAATTTGGCCTCACATCCCCCTATGCCTTCCATTTACAAGATGATAGGCACTTTGATGTTAAGAAGTGAATTTGAACCTGGTTTTGGATTGGGAAAATATTTGCAAGGTATCACTGAGCCTATTCAAATTTTCACAAAAAGTTCAAAGTTTGGCTTGGGATACATCCCAATAGCAGATGATGAGGCGGGAGCTTCGAGTAACAAGGTGGTTGATTGGGAATTAGCAAAACCGGTACCTCATTTATACCAGTCTTTTCCAGTGCGAGAATATGTCAATAATGATGGTCTCAGAGAGGGAATCAGGAATCTTTTTGAAGAATCTGATGATGTGCTTGAGGAGATGATCGAGACATCTGGCATTCGAGATGCCAAACCAGAAGAGCAAGTGCCTAACTGGACATCCACACAACTCCTGGTTCCTCACTTGTCTTGGTAGACAAAGATATATCTATTTTACTTATTTATAAAATTGGTGGTAGTCTGAATGAGGCCTAAGACCCGCCCTTTATGTCGTTTTACCTCTTTAAGCTTTAATTTCCCTCGTGATGTTTAAAAAGGCAAATTGGCCTATGTTCATGGCCAAAGTTTGTACTTTCTTTTAATCTAAATGAAAGCCTTCTCTATTGCTTAAATCTATTTATTCACAACTTACTAATTTATTTATCTGACATGGCTTATTTATGATTTCAGTAAAAATAACTTAAAACCTGTCAATATCATGTCATGTCATAAGCTGAGTGAGCAAAATGAGACAGATGAGAATGAGTTTGAGGAATATGATGAAGAGACCATGGTTCCAGAACACCTCGCAGAAGAATTGAAACAGTTTGAGAATCAAGAGAAGCCAAATTTAGAGGAGACTGAGACCGTGAACCTGGGAGATGAAGAAAGTGTTAAAGAAACCAGGATCAGTGTCCATCTCACAGAAACTCAGAAAGAAGAGCTCATCAGTTTGCTTAAACAGTACATCAATGTATTTGCTTGGTCTTATGATGATATGCCTGGATTGAGCACAAATATTGTTTCTCACACGTTGCCGATCAATCCAGATTTCAGTCCGGTAAAGCAGAAAAGTCGAAAGTTCAAGCCAGATTTGAGTTTGAGAATCAAAGAAGAAGTTACCAAACAAATTCAAGCCAAGGTTGTGGAGGTTACTAAGTATCCAACTTGGTTAGCCAATATTGTTCCAGTGCCTAAGAAAGATGGTAAAATTAGAATATGTGTTGATTATAGAAATCTCAATAAAGCCAGTCCCAAAGACAATTTTCCATTGTCGAATATCCACATTCTCATTGAAAATTGTGCTAAGCATGAAATGCAATCATTTGTGGATTGCTTTGCGGGTTATCATCAGATTTTGATGGATGAAAAAGATGCTGAAAAGACGACTTTCATTACACCATGGGGTGTTTATCATTATCGGGTAATTCCATTTGGTCTTAAGAATGCCGGGGCCACATACATGAGAGCCATGACAGCTATCTTCCATGATATGATCCATAAGGAGATTGAAGTATACGTGGATGACGTAATCATCAAGTCCCGCAAGAGTTCAGATCACTTGACCCATTTGAGAAAGTTCTTTGATCGATTGCGTCAATACAACTTGAAGCTGAATCCCGCTAAATGTGCTTTTGGAGTACCCACTAGTAAAGTATTGGGTTTCATAGTTAGTAGAAGAGGCATTGAGTTTGATCCTACCAAAGTCAAGGCGATTCAGGATTTACCACCTCCGAAGTCTAAGAAAGAAGTTATGAGTTTCCTTGGAAGATTGAACTACATAAGTCGATTCATAGCTCAATCCACGGTAGTTTGCGAGCCCATCTTTAAGTTGTTGAAAAAAGATGCACTAACGGTGTGGACCGAAGAGTGTCAAAAAGATTTCGATACTATCAAAGATTATTTGAGAAATCCACCAGTATTGGTACGTCCGCGAGAAGGAAGTCCATTGTTACTATACTTGTCCGTCTCAGAAAATGCATTCGGGTGTGTATTAGGACAACATGATGAAACTGGAAAGAAAGAACGCGCGATCTACTATCTTAGCAAGAAGTTTACTCCATATGAGGCTCGGTAGACTCTATTGGAAAGAACATGCTGTGCTTTGACTTGGATCTCCCAAAAGCTGAGGCATTATTTGTCTTCATATACTACATATCTTATTTCCAAGATGGATCCATTGAAGTATATTTTCCAGAAAGCTATGCCGACTGGAAAACTGGCGAAATGGCAAATGCTTCTGAGCGAGTTTGACATTGTGTATGTTACTCAAAAAGCGGTAAAAGGACAAGCATTGGCCGATCATCTTGCAGAAAATCCAATCGACGAAGAATATGAACCGCTCAAAACATACTTTCCTGACGAAGATGTGTTGTTCATAGGAGAAACCATTTCTGAGTCATACCCTGGTTGGATGGTATTCTTTGATGGAGCGGTGAACTGTAATGGAGCTGGAATTGGAGCGGTTCTAATATCGAAATCCGGTCAACATTACCCCGTGGCGGCTAAACTTCGATTTCATTGCACCAATAATATGGCAAAATACGAGGCTTGCGTTCTTGGCATAATGTTAGCCATCGACATAAATGTCCAAGAGTTGCTGGTAATTGGAGATTCAGACTTGTTAATTCACCAGGTTCAAGGGGAATGGACCGTGAAGAATCCAAAGATTGTTCCATATGTACAATTGGTGCAAAGATTGTGCAAAAGATTTCGAAAGATAGAGTTTATGCACACTCCAAGGTTGCAAAATGAATTTGCTGAAGCTCTTGCCACTATCTCCTCTATGATCAAGAATCCAGATCAGAATTACATCGACCCTTTGGAGATAGATTTAAAGGAACAACCCGCTCATTGTTCGCATGTCGAAGCGGAACCAGACAGAAAGCCTTGATATTATGATATAAAGAAGTACCTGGAGACTGGAATTTATCCAGAAGATGCGACATCCAATCAAAAGAAGGCAATACGTCGATTGGCTAACAATTTATTTCCAAGTGGGGAAATCCTTTATAGGAGGACTCTATATTTGGGACTCCTCAGGTGCGTAGATTCCATGGAAGCTACAAGACTTCTTGATGAGGTACATGCTGGAGTCTGTTGACCTCATATGAACGGGCTTACTTTGGCAAAAAAGATCATTCGAGCTAGTTATTTTTGGATGACTATGGAGCATTATTGTTGTAGATTTGTGCAAAAGTGTCATAAATGCCAAGTACATGGTGATTTGATCCGAGTACCCCTTCATGAACTTAATGTTATGGGATCGCCTTGGCCATTCGTGGCCTGGGGCATGGATGTTATTGGCCCAATTGAGCCAGCCGCCTCTAATGGACATAGATTTATTTTTGTTTCCATTGATTACTTCACCAAGTGGGTGGAAGCAAACTCTTATAAATCTGTGACGAAGAAGGTAGTAGCTGATTTCATTCGTAACAACTTGATATGTCGATTTGGACTACCTGATTCCATTATTACAGACAATGGTGCAAACCTCAATAGTTATTTGATGAAGGAGATATGTGAGCAATTCAAGATTACTCACCGAAATTCGACTGCTTATCGTCCTCAAATGAATGGAGCCGTAGAAGCTGCCAATAAGAACATCAAAAAGATTTTGAGAAAGATTATTGATAATCACAGAGGTTGGCATGAGATGTTACCATATGCTTTGTTGGGATACCGAACAACCGTTAGAACATCAATCGGAGCAACTCCATACTTGCTAGTATATGGGACAGAAGCAGTGATACCTGCTAAAGTTGAAATACCTTCATTGAGGATCATTCAAGAAGTTGAACTGAGCAATGCTGATTGGGTTCGTAATAGGATTGAACACTTAGCCTTAATTGATGAAAAAAGGATGACCGCTGTTTGTCATGGCCAATTATATCAATAGAGAATGATTCGTGCTTTCAACAAAAAAGTCAGATCTCGCACATTTGAAGAAGGACAATTGGTCCTCAAACGGATCTTCCCCCATCAAGATGAGTATAAGGGAAAATTTGCACCAAATTGGCAAGGACCGTACATGGTTCGTAAAGTGTTATCTAGAGGTACTTTGATCCTGTCAGGGATGGATGGCCAAGAGTGGCCAAAACCAATCAACTCAGATGCTGTCAAGAGATACTACGTCTAAAAATTAGGTCTAAAAATTTGACCTGATTCCTGCCTCAACGGGATACGTAGGCGCCACAACGGATCGGTCATACACCCCATAGAATTTCCATTTCTCTTTATAATGGAAACTGGGGCAGAAATTTGAGAGGAGCTCAAAAATTCTAAAGATCATTCGTCAGCAAGACAGGATTGAACATGCATTAGGAAAAGGCAACTAAGGCGTAATTTTTTAGAAGATCTCCAAAAATTCTACAAGTCTTCCTACCAAAGATTTGAGAAATGACAAGACATTTCACTGGGGCAGAATTTTTGAGAAGATCTCAAAAATTCCGCAAGTCTTCCTACCAAAGACTTGAGAGATGCCAAGAAATTTCACTGGGGCAGAATTTTTGAGAAGATCTCAAAAATTTTGTCAAGTACTGTCAGAAGTTCAAAGTTAACGACAAATAATCTCTAGCATGATCAGAGGCTCATGAACCCAAATATCTCAGAAATTCAAAGTCAAACTTCAATTATCTTCTGATTTCCCCAGCTTAAAAGGACTTTTAGATTGGATATATCGAAACTTGAACTGAAGTGTTCACTTAAGCTTTAATGTGACATGACACTTGGCAGTGACCCTCATCAAATTACTTTTCAAAAAACCATTTTTTTCTTAAAACTTTATACATCTATCAAATATTTTATATAAAATATAGATCTACTTTATGTCTACCAAGAAGCGGGAAGCTAGAAGCAATCAACCAATGATAGCAAGAGGAAGATCAAGCAATCAAAGAAGTCAACACATATTAGTTCACTTAAAACTAATAAATTTTCTGTGGATGCAGGTTTACAAGGATATCAAGATAATCATGTTCAACAAATATGGGAAAGTCAGAACAGCAAAAGCGCCCAAGACTAACATTTCTTTATGCAGGAAAAGGCATTGATATTCATCCGATAAAAGTAGTTAACTTAGTATTTTGAACAACAATTTCTTGTATATATTTTCAAAAAAAATAGTAGCCACAACGAAGATACAAGTGGTCAAAGAAAAAGTAGGTGAAAGCATCGAGAGGGTGGCACTTTAAGATTTATAAATGACTATAATAACGGCATATTGCATTTTCCAGCGTCAAAGACGTCTGAAGGGCACACGTAAGACACATCAAATATCGAAAAGAATTTGAAGTGCAACTTGCCAAAAATATTCATTATCACGTTAAAGTCTAAAGAGGCTAACGTTGAAGGATATTTGTAAGTCACATCGATACTAGATACAGCGATGTGCATTGTCGAGAGGGACATCAATATTATATTACTAAAGGTAGTACTATCATTGCCAAAAGGGCCATCCATATTATATTATCGGAGGTGATAATATCAACGCCAAGAGGGCCATTACATAATCAAATGCTAAGAGGGCCATTGCATTTTCCATTGCCAAGAGGGCCATTACATCTTCAAACACCAAGAGGGCCATTACATAATCAAACGCTAAGAGGGCCATTGCATCTTCCATTGCCAAGAGGGCCATTGCATCTTCAAACGCCAGGAGAGCCATCGTGCATTCAAAATGCCAAGAGGGTCATTACATATTCAAATGCCAAGAGGGCCACTGCATCTTCCATTGCCAAGAGGGCCAATACATCTTCAAACGCCAGGAGAGCCATCGTGCATTCAAAATGCCAAGAGGGACATTGCATCTTCAAACGCCAAGAGGACTATTACATAATCAAATGCAAAAAATGCCATGTCATCTTCCAATGCCAAGAGGGCTATTACATATTCAAACCACTGAGAGAGTCATCCGTATTATATTATCAAATGTGATAATATCATTGCTGAATAGATCAACATCATCCTACCGATAGACCATCATCGTTTTACCAATCAAGCTTCGACAACATTGGATCAATATCATCCTGCCAATGGATCGTCAATGTAGCAACATCTTCTTATCAATGGAGCGTGCACATCTTCATCATAAATGTAGCAGCATCATCCTATCAATAAAAGCATCCAAGAGGATGAATTCTCGAATCGAACCACAGGTGCGGACGATATCAAAAAGGATGCAGCACAACGTGGAACTTTTTCTTAGCAGCGAGCTGGGACATAGACCGAAGAGGAGTATCAAACTCTTAGGACGCGAGCTGAGGAGCGACTTCCAGCACAATCAAGCCACACCCCTATCAAAAGGCATGTGGGCATTTCCTTGGGTTTATCAGTTCCAATTTCGCATCCGGAAAACTTTACACTCTCACCGGAGTCAGCTTTCCAATATGAGTGACAATGCACCAAGAGCTTTGAAAATTATGTTCGTGTAAGTTCTTAATTATGGGTGTGAAGCGCGCCACATTCATGGTTAAGAGGTCGCAAGCCTCTTTTTCATGCTCGACTTACTTGTCACTCTTCTAGAACCAAAGGTTATTTAGCATAATAGATTTCCTTTTCAACCGATCGAGTCGAACTACAAATAGCCTGATTCCTTGAGTTGAAGGATATGTAGGCGGGCTCAATGTTGAAAACTCAGTTGCATTCCGACATTCTCTCTTAAATCTTATTCTCAAGGATTTCGGTCTCTTCATAATTAGATATCGGGATAGCTTTTGAATTCTTTTATAATCGTGCATCAAATCAAGCGTATCAAACTACAAGTGACCTGAATTCTCATATAGCCTGAGATATGTAGGAAACTCAATGTTAGGGTCCGGCAATAATTCCTCAAAAAATCCATATCGAGTCTTGCTTTTAAAGAGATGACAGGGGGTTTAGTCAAAATTTGATTCGTCAATCTTCTTTGTCCAAGTTCTCTTTCATCGACCCTACGCAAAGAATGGGGCAGTTGTTGACACCCAATTTTTACCCTATGCAATTCGAGTTAACTATCGAGCTTCTTCAATTTCAAACAATTTGAAATAATCGCCTTTGAAAAATCTTTAAAAAATATATATTTTAAAATCTCTTTCTGTTTAGTTTTGGTTAGTATTTTTCAGAAATAATTATATAATTTTACATGTTGGTTTATGTTATTTTGGTCTTTTATATAAATATTTAATAAATAGCCTAAAAAATAATGTTTATCATAATTACGCATTAGTTAATTTTATAATTTTGTATAATTAGTTCTCTATTTTAAAGCAATAAATAAGTTTTGATAATTATTTTATCTTGTTTAAATTACGAAGCTCAAATAATTAATCGATAATTATTCATCTTATTTTAATTTTGTCCAATTTTGTTAATTGACTCAAATTGATTAGACCTAACTCAAATTGGTTAAATTAGAAACTAAATGTCCAATTTTTAAATAAAATGGACCATCATTTTGATTTATATACTCTCCCACACTCTCTCTCTTTTCCCTTTTTCCAGGCCTCACATAAGCTCCTCTCCCCTTTCTTCTTCCTCCAAAACGCAAAAGTCAATATCAAGAACTCTAATTTCTTCATCCAACTACACCACCCATCACCATTGACAGTCCCTCCTTCCATATTCAAAGATTGTAGACCTCGAGCTTGATTTGATGACTTTGGATTAGATAAAAATCTCAACCAAATCTAATCCGAATCGGAGGATATCACATCGAATCCAAATTTTCGGGGGTAAGTTCTCATCTTGCTTGTTTTTTCTTCCATTCTCTCCAATCAATCTCTCATCTCCCGCTCAAATGACTATTTGAATTCAAGCCTTTATTTTTGCTATAAATACATGGTATTGGTGTCATTTAGAGGAGACACACGGAGACAAAAAAAAATGGGGACAAACAGAGGATTGAAATTTGAAGGTTGGAGAATAGTATTCCTTGAAATCGAACCCACGAAGGTTTGAGCCTCGGATTTTCAATTTTCTTTCAAGTTCTTTGGATCATCTGTTGGTGGAGGTCAGTGATAGTAGGAAGCTCTTCAACTCGTTTGTCTCAGTCGCTGCCCTCAAAAAGGTAAAACCTGTCTCTCTTCTTACTGTTCTGTTAACTTCAGGTGCACTTGGGTTATTGTGTTTGAAGTTATGTGTGGTATTATAAGTTTTCTCATCGAGCTCTGTAATTGTTTCTCTCATGTTGTGATTATAGGATGAGTGTGTGTTGCCGCTTATTTCTTGTTTTCACATATGAGTTTGCAATTCTCTTTCCAAAATGTGTTATGTTTCTTTCATATTGTTAACTTTCCCTTGCTGTTTAAGAACCTAGAAAGGTTGATTTATTTTTTTTAGGAATTGTTGTTTGATTGTTGTATTAGGATTTGGTATCATGGATTTATATAAATGTTAGCCTAATCTCGTGTTATGGATAGATTTAGTTGAGTTCTTGTTCCAACTGGTTAGAATGCATTCAATTTCAATAATAAATAAGTTTCGGTTCGGTTTGTGTAGAAGATGATTTTCTGACTAGAACTGTTACTATTCTTACTTTTTGGCCCGCATAACGGCATTTTGTTGAAGTTTGAAACTGCTACACTTGTATTAGTTAAGTCGTAGTCACTATGCATACGCATTAATAACCAGTATTCGACGCCATATTTTTTCGCTCTTTCACTCTAAATATGGGAATCATGATACATATAGCTATTTAAACTAATTTTGTGTCTTTGCTATTCTTTGTCCCAAAACTATTTCATTTGAATGCTGCTAAACCCGCTTACTGCTGTTCATATGCTATTATCACTTATAATTTATCCATTCTTATTGCTAATGAATAATCTTTGCCACTGTGCATACTGTACTCGTCAAATGTTTGCCAGGTGCATAAAGTTGTCTTGTTTGTTAATTCCATAAAATAGTATTGCTAATGAATAATTTTTGCCAGTGTGCATACTTTACTTATCAAATGCTTGTCATGTGCATAAAGTTGTCTTGTTTGATAATTCCATAAAGTAGGACTTACTTTAGTGGTCCATGTTTATTTTCCTTTTACATTTGTTGAAGTGAATTTTTTTTCCTTCTTCAATTAAAAGATAAAATAAAATTGGTGACCTATTTAATATTAATTATGTGAATTACTACTTAGTTTCTTTGCTTGTGATTTGAATATTATGCTAAGTTTTTAATTTTTTAATTTTTATTTTTTGATCTTGTCCAACTGTAATTCCTCTTCTTTTACTTTTGTTTGATTTATGGTATGTTGGCGGAGTCCAAGTTGGACCCAATTCCTATTTCTTGCATTCTCCGTCTTATCGAGTCAACTACATAATTGGAACCACGTGGAGTTCGGGAAGAGAATACATGTCGTAAGGGAAGCTGAAACAGGTCTCGGATTACAGAAAAATGGGTTGTATACATCCGATATACACTGATATACATCAGATGTATACAAAAAGGGGAATTGAGCCAAGTGCCCAAATCAACAACGAGTTTGGCCCAAAAAGGCCCCAAATTCATCTTCTCCTTTATTCTCCTAGATTATTTAATTGTGATTACTTATTGTTAGTTTTTTTTATTAACTCTAACTTTAAATAACTTAATTGAACTCCCCAAAGGATGAACTATTTTCTTTGTGTTGGTTTACTTTAATAAATTTTATTTTATCAACTCTTGCACCCTTATTTACTTATTCAAATGGTTTCAATTCAAAACTTTCACTTAGTTTAAACTGATTTCTTGGTTTATTGACTAAATTAGTTCAAATTATTATGAGTCAAATAGATTTTAATTAATCTAGTTTGTTAAAATTTTAATCACTTGCATTAAATTCAAATGTTTCATTTAGGTCCCTTTCCCTATAAAAAATAAAATAAAATGTGTCGTTTATTTAATCTATTTTCTCAAGTTAATCGAATATTGTAAATAAATATTATATATTAAATCATTTTCCTAAAAAATAATTGTCCAACAAATATTTAACCTAAGTCGTAGGATAACCGCGTGTTAGCGGGCACTTCAAATGTCTTAAAACCTTATTGAAGCATAAATAAGAACCTCTTACTCATTTTCTCTAAATTTTTAAGGACTTAATTTGTTAGAGTCTTTTCAAATTAAGTTTTCTTAATTTCTTTAAAAAATTAAGTGGCGACTCTTTCTAAGTATTTTTCTCAAATTGTTTTATACTTAGAACATTTCAAAAAGTGATTTTTCTAAAGGTTAGTAAAATTACGCTATAACAGAAATGGCGACTATGCTGAAGATTTAATAAGTTCTAACCATAACAGACTTAGATTAATTATTAAGGTTTTTAACATATCCTTACTTGTTTGCTTATTTTACATGCCTAATGCTTTATTTTTCATGTTTATGTGATATAAACTTCTTATTTGTTATTGTTTTTCATAAATTGTATATTTGTTACTACTTTATAAACTGTCATTTCGTTCATACTTCCTCCCATTCTGGAAAATTTACACAATCACACGTACCCGCAAATTTCTTTCAAAATCCCAAAAAATAGGAGAGTTGGCATATGCGCGGGGTGTCCGGATCTTTTTCCGTGTAACCGTGTAGCCTCCTCACTCGAGTTGTCCACTCGGGAACGTTGTGTCTAGTAAGCCAAATCTTAGAAAACATAAGATAGAGCTAAGCCGCCCTCAATTTAAGTCATGCATGCATATACCTTAGGTGGATCGATCCTGGGTATCGATTGCACATTTAAGAAGTCCACCCTTATGTCGACGGGTTTCACGACCCAACGAGCATGTTTTGTGCAACGTGATAATGATAGACGGATCCAAGCCTAAATTTGACATAGTTTGGAAATTATGTGTTCATTCTTGTTTTTTTTAGGATGAATTTAGTCCTCCAAGTGCCCAAAATTAGGATGGTCGAGGGTTTCCCGCGCAAATTGAAGATCTGGTGGGATAATTTCACTCCAAGTAAAAAACTAGCAATTGCTAGAAGGTTGGGGTGCCTCACTATGCTATTCAAGGTTAACCCGGACAAACATATAATTAGAGCATTGATTCAGTTTTGGGATCCAGACCGTGTTGTGTTCGTGTTCAAAGACTTTGAACTAACACCTACATTGGAGGAAATATGTTATTTAACTAGTTTGAAGTATCGAGAAAAAGGTCAAATTATTCCACACAGTCAATCAGGGAAGAAATTTCTTCGCTACTTAAGACTGAAAAATAAAAAGAAACTTCGATGCTTTGAACATAATTGGGTTTCTCTGGATTACTTATATGAAAGGTATGGACGCTCGGATAGCTACAAAGTGTTCAGGAAAGAATTCTCTTGCACTTATGTTCATTGGCAAGCCAGACGTCCTATTGCATTTGTTGTGGCTTTACTAGGGACTTTAGTGTTTCCACGAGAACATAGTCATATTAGCACCTGCATATGTTCTGTAGCTCGTGTACTTTTTGAAGGTGTTAATGGCGAAGAACTCACTCTTGTTCCCATGATTTTAGCAGAAATATTTCGAGCTCTTGGGAAATGTAAAAGAGGGGAAGCAAACTTCTTTGAAGGTTGCAATCTTCTTTTACAAATGTGGGCAATGGAACATTTTTCACCAGTGTAAAAATATGGATGACATATGCTTTAGTAACGCAAATCATAATCACAGTTTTTACGATAGGACGAGAATGTTTGTGTCTCCGGTTGGTGCTGATGACTGGTATGGATATCTGGCCTCCCGCACTAGTAACCAAATTCAGTGGAAATATCCATTACTCTCACATTCCCCGGCCTTTATAAGATGCAGGAGGTTTTACTATATCGAGCTTATTGGGTTGAAAGGTCTCCAGCCATATGCTCCGGTACGCGTGCTTCAATAGTTTGGTCAAGTACAAGTAATCCCTCTTCGAGCAAACATGAGAGTTTCTGAAATTTCATTTGGACCAAACTTTGAAGTCCCTCGATCCAGAGAGATTCTTCATGAATGGAACAATATTATCACGATAGATATAGGAAATGGGCCAGAGAGAGAAATTCCAGAACATCAGGTGTTGCTTCGAGAAGATCGCAATAGCATGAGTCCAGAAGGCGAACAAGGTTTTAAGGATATTGGGACGACGATCTGGATAAGTCATTCTTATCTTGGAACCAAAGTAGTCACTCCTGAAATGTGGGCTCAAATGGAAACTATAATGCAATATTTGGACAATGCGGGAGTAGGGCCTAGCAACGTGGGAGCGTCATCTTTACTTCCTCCACCAGCGTGACTGATAACAAATTTAGGTCGAGTCTTAGATTTGTCTTTATATTGTGTCATCTTTTATGTATTCTCTCTTTGTTGTACCATTTTATTGGTATTTAATAAATATTTGGTCTTTGTTTTCCAAACTCGAGTTGTCACAAATTAATGGCTTGGATCAATCTATCATAATCACGTTATGTTTGACGTTTAGGCCTACCTCTGGCATAAAAAGGTACAAATCTAGGCCGCGATATAAATTGTTTGTGTGTTGCTTGATATAATCGCTTTGTGTTGTGATGTGTCATTTTGTCTAAAGCAGAATTAATCCACTCTTGTTTCTTAGAGCACCTTAAGAATATATAAAAATCCACAACAACAAAGTCCGTCCAAGTTACTCCTGAAGTGTTGTCTAAGTTTCTCGGAAAATATATAAACCCTTTAAAAAACTTCAAAATTTCCATCTCTCAGTCTAAGAAATGTTACTTTTCTAGAATGTCTAGAAGAAGTGTTAGCACGTCATTGCCGATCATTGATTTGGTTAGTGGCGAAGAAATTGAAGAATCAATGTTTAGACTGATTCAGACTACGCTTAGCTTGGATTCCCCGGAAGGATACATAGGCAACCCCTATCCAGTAAATTTTTATTCTCCCTTTCCTTGAAGGATTCTGAAAGATTTCACCTAAAAGATATGAGTGGAAGAAGTTAGCAAGAATCTATGCAAGTCGACTTTCTTGATTCATTCAAATGAACTAATCCAAAAAAAATAAAAAAATCCTTCCATTTGAGTCCTCCCTTTCACCCAAAATACATTCGTGGATTAATCTGCTTGAAGCAAAATGACAATTATATGTTTATTCTTATATCATCTTATTTGTATTTCTCATTAGAAACAATAACTAACATAGCTACTTTTGAGTTGTTTTTAATTTATCAGGTAACTAGAACTAATTTGTGTTGATAAACTGGCTGAGCATCCGTACTTCATGAGATCTAAAGTCCCTAAAGATTCCTTCCCGGGCCAAAATCTATTGAAAGGAAAATAAAAGATGACTTGAAATGGTGAGAACATCGGTTTGAATGAGATCACAATAGTAGACCCTATCATTGCTGAGCAGAATGAGTTGATTGCTCAACTGACACAACAAATTGTTGAAATGAGGGCTGAGATGCATAAGACTCGAGAGTTGGCAAATTTGGCTATCACTGCTAACACTCCTCTTCCAAACAACGAAAGACCTCCGCTCTCTTTCACTACTCCTAATCCAACACCCGAACATTTCCCACAAAATCCACCTATTGTTCCAGTTCAAAAGGCCCCAACTGTCGAATTAAACACAACTAACCAACATCATGCTAGCTCTTCCTACCAAACACCTAATCCATCTCAAAGCCTAAATTCTCACAACTCTCAAGCATTTCCTTCCATGTACCAAAACTCCTCCTCAAAAGCACTTCAAACCCACCTACTACTCAACCCCTACCTACAAAAGCCACTTTCCATATTCCAATCCTCACAGAACAACATCTTCCCTACACTACATATCCCGAACCCGATCACTATGAGGAGAAGAAAAAGGTGTGGAGGGTCAAAGAGGAAATGAATAAGCAGAGCATGAAGGAAGAAATTATGAAAGCTATGAAAGAACTTCATTACACTCCAGATGTTATAGGGCTAAACTATGAAGACTTGTGTATCCATCCAAACTTGGACCTTCCCGAGGGATTTAAAGTACCAAAGTTTGACACTTTTGGAGGAACTGGGAATCCCTTAGCTCATTTAAGGGCGTATTGTGACCAGCTCGTAGGAGTTGGGAAAAATGAAGCATTGTTGATGCGGCTCTTCAGCCGAAGTTTGAATGGAGAGGCCTTAGAATGGTTCGCCTCCCAAGACATGAAGCAATGGCCTAGTTGGAATGCTTTAGCTAAAGATTTTATTGAGAGATATGCTTATAATGTAGAGATCGTTCCAGATCGATACTCCTTGGAAAGATTAGGCAAAATCCACCGAAAACTACCGTGAATATGCATACAGGTGGAGAAAAGAGGCTGCCAGAGTTCAACCTCCCATGTCTGAAAAGGAGATCACTGAAGTATTTGTGCGCATCCAAGAGCCAAAATACTATGATAGAATGATGTTGCTCATTGGAGCAAAATTTGCTGAGATAGTCAAAATAGGTGAGACTATCGAAGATGGTCTTAAGACCGGAAAGATTGCCCGGGTGGCAGCCCAAGCCAGATCTTCGGGACTATTGAGAAAGAAAAGGGAGGAAGTGTCCTTTATTTCTGATGCATCTGGTGGAAGGACAAAAAGATCGTTCGGATTTAGCTCTAGAAAATCTTCCCCCTCCAAAGCCTATCCCCCAGCTCCACATTACCAAAATACCCCTCCAAACTATCAGACTCCACAATCAAATTACCAAACTCAACCATACCCAAAATTCCAAACAC